GCATAAGGCAGGGTCACAGTGTGATGTCACTCTGCAGATGCATGAAATACAAAAAGCAATCTGCTGCCTAACCCTGCACATGTGTTGTCAGAAGGATATCCTGCTGAGCTCAACAGGACTTACTCACAATGTGTATGAGCAAGATCAGCCTATTATATCTTTAGTTAAAAGATTTATAACCTGGGTTGGATCCAACCAGCTTTTCCAGCCCTTTCTTTTCAGTACTGGTTCCCAAAGAAGCATAGATACAAAATATAAACCATGCAAGAATAAAATATATAATAAAATAAAACTGAACTAAATAATAAAAACATAAGCAGCATTAATCATAAGTAATGGGCATGCACAATTATGCAATTATGTCCCACCAAAGCTCTTGAGAATAGGGCAGGTTTCACCTAGTGCCTAAAGGACTGTGGGGAGGACAAATAAGCTTGGGAAGGAAAGGCATTCTATAATTGGGATGCCACAACAGAGAAGACCCTGTTCCTAGTGGGTAATTATTTAACTCAAAGACAGGGGTTTCCTAGAGCCACACTTCACAACATATACAGTTGATAGTACATGGCACTGATAGTACATGGCACTTTACATATCCTGGTCTGAAGCTATTTAGAGCTTTTAAGCTGAAAATTAGCACTTTGAATTCTGTCTGGAAACAAACTAAAATCTGATCATCCCAGATAATAACCCACCTGCTGGTTTTCAAATCACCTAAATTTCATTATAGTTTTTCACAGGCAACCCCATTCCTAAATCATGGATGATACTTGCATATCCATAAACAAGGCTATAAACCACCCCACCCTACAAAACCGACCTTTAAGGGGGAGTGCAAGCCATCTAAATATCCTCTTTGCAGCTAACTATACCTGCCAATAGCACATCGGTCCTGTTTGGGTTGACCTTCAGTTTATTAGCCTTCATCCAACTCATTCTTGACTCTAGGAAGCCATTAAAGATATCTACAATCACAACTGAGTTTGAGGAGAAAGACTGGTGCCATCCTATTTATTTATTTATGTTTGGATTTATATCCTGCCCTACCCCGAAGGCTCAGGGCGGCTGACAAGGGCACTGTGTGCCAAGGTTATAACAATAAAACACATAATATAAAACAATAATTTACAATAAAATATAGTAACAAATTTACAATACAAATTTAACCAAGATGGATAGATCTTAACCTCCATAATAACTTCCTGAGATCTTGTCATCCAATCCCTGCCTGGACACCTCGCTCCCCCCAGTGGGGTCCAGATAATCATGATGGTAATACGACAGTGCATAGGAGGCGAAGGTGGAATAGTAGTGGCGGCGGCTCCTACTCAAAGGCCTGGCGGAAGAGCTCCGTCTTACAGGCCCTGCGGAGCTGAGAAAGGTCCCACAGGGCCCGGATCTTTTCCGGGAGCTCCTTCCACCAGGTAGGAGCCGCCACCGAAAATGCCCTGGTCCTATCTATATCCCTGGACAATCTTACCCAGTGGTATCATGCAGATGTTAAATAGTTAGTGGACAAGACTGAACTTCACAGCATCCTGAAGCATAAATACTGTTATGGCTGAGTAACAGCCCTTAGTATCACATTTTGGAATTAATTCACCAGTTAAGAACAAAACTTCTGGAACATGGTGCCCCCCCATCCTTTGCTCCCTCCAAAACTTTGGAACTTCCTCCCCCCCCATGAATCTTTCTCCTCCTGTCATTGCCTTCCATTAGCAGGTGAAGACTTCTTTGTTTTGTTTGGCACTCCTTCACTCTTATTAGCCTCCCTCCCTCTGTGTGTGTATATGAGTTTAAATGGTTTTTTTACTCTTTTAAATATTACATTTTTTATTTTAAATGCTGTTTTAAGAAATGTTTGCTGCCTTGGCACCATGAGTTGGGTGGAAAGGTGGGAAAGAAATGTTTTAAATAAACAGGTCTCTTTAGAAGCAAGTCCCATTTTATCCATTGAGGTTTGCTCTCAGCTGAGGATTGCTGCCATAGCCAATGGGATGGAAAGACATAACAACATCCAGGAAAATCAACAGAGCAGCAATCTGCCTCAGTCTCTGGCCTGGCAAACATCATTGGCAACCAAGCAGTTTCAGTTCCAAAATCAAACTGCAACTCATAAAGCAAGAATTGTTCTAGATTCCTTGTTTCAAAACTCTTATTCTGTTTTCAATGTTGGTAGCTGAGACTGTAATTTATAAATGGAAGTTTTCCACACATCTGAGATGACTGAAAAAATATTTTTAAATTGTAAAAGGTCAAAAATTAAGGAAGGTTTTTTTTAAAAAAATTCTGGCAGCACAATTTGTGTGGGGGTGAGGGTGTTAAGTGGCATGTTCTACTTGCTATGGAGCAGTGGTGTCTAAATGGAAAAAAAAGAGTTCTAGCACCCTGATGTTTACTGAGAAGTTACGAATGTGAAACCAATAATGAACGAACTAAAATATACTTCTTCAGAAAATGGTGGGGGAAGTGATTTACGCGTGATCTATTATAGTATCTGTTGGCCTCATCCATATGGTAGACCAGTTTTGGGAAGAAGAAAGTAATTAACCATGGGAGAAAAAGAATAGAGAACTATTAGGCTCAAGCCCAAGCATACCATTATTTCCATTATACCTTTAAAAATTCAGAAAAGTGTCCCTTGGTATTTTCCAGAAGCTGTAACCCATAGCTTATACATAGTAGAATCCAATGATAAAGTATTTCCTGGACTATACTCCACTTCAGACTACTGGTAGAGGCTAATTCCATTTGATTGTTTTGCTCTTCTCCGACTTCCAAACAGGAGTGGTCTTTTCCTCAGCAGCCACATAGCATCATTGTACATATATGCCCACCTTGCTGCAATATTTCCTAAATGCGCTTTTGGACAGTTGTTCTGAGAGATTGTAGCCAAAGCATATTTGGGCAGGGGAGGTATGGATTATTTTGGTTCCCGCCTGACATTGGAGGCATTTTGCTTGCCTCAGTGCCCTGCAGTTACCATACCACGTCCCCAACACACCCCAGTCCACTGGATGGTTTTCTTTGGCTTTAAAAAAATGGTAATTGACCTAAAGCAATACTGTTGTAATGCTATAGTGATTTGTCAATTATGAGTTTTATTAAAAGCCCGTCCAGCTCTCCATGGTGTGTGGGGAATGGCAGCCACAGAGAGCTGCAAACGGCAGGGAAAACCATCAAGTACATACTCCATTGCCAGTCCTAATGCCTCTCCACATTTTGGCCATGTGGAAACAGAGTCATGTTTGAATGCTTCTCCCCCCCAATCTTGCCTTTGAGAGTCAGTAGCTCTGTAAGCAAAGTTCTGTATCTCTATTGTACTTTTATCTCACCTTTCCTCTAAGGAGCTCATGGCAAGATACATGAGTCCCCGTCCCCCCCAATTTTTGATAAGTTACATTTTTGGTGTTGATCAATGCTGTAAGTTTTACCATTTTTACTATGGCTGCTTTTTACCAGTTTTAGGTTTTAGCTGCATTGGATGGGCTGTGTAAGGAAGTTTAACAGTTGCTGTTTTACTGCTGTCTGGTTTACAGATAGTGTTACTCTGTTTTTATTATTTTAGTTTGTTGTTCTTATCTACTTTTACTTTTTCCCCTCTTTGTAAGATCCCCTGTGTACTTTTTTGGCAGAATGGTAGGATATTAACCTTATAAATATATTTCAGCCTCACAGCAACACAGTGAAGCAAGTTAGGCTAAAAAACGCATACCCGGTCCAGTGACCTTTATGGCTGAGTAGCAACTTGAACCCTGGTCTGATATTCCAAGTGCTACAATCCGATTTTAGACAAGATTGCAATTGACAAGTTTACGTGGGAAACAATTTCTACTGCAAAACACCAACTTATACTATATGGTTCATAATTGTGATCGATAGAGCTATTATGAAGATTATTTTCCCCTAGTAAAATTTCCCTTTTGATGGTTTTCCTTTCGTGTATTATGAGCTATGCTTTTGAATATGTTCATTTCCCCCCCCCCCCAGGAGTAGTTACCCCAACTCCTACCTGCAGCCTGAAATGGTACACCCTAGACAAATTTAAATTTGTTCTGCTACCCCTATATTTATTGTTTGGTTAAAGCCAGGATCTGTACCCAGTAATTCAACATACAAGGAATTTTATATTTTATCGAACCGTTTTATTGTCAATAGGGCCACCAAGGGTTTTTTCCCTCCCTGCCAGCTCCAGAGAATTGGGGGGGGGGTGGAGGGGGGGTTTGGGGAGCAGAGTCCACTTTAAAAAGTGGCCATTTTCTCCATAGAAACTGACCTCTGCCACCTGGAGATCAGTTGCAATCAGTGTTCCCTCTAAGCTGAGTTAGTGTGAGCCAGCTCACAGTTTTTTAGCCTCCGGCTCACACATTTTTGTCTTAGCTCAGGAAGGATGGCTCCAGAGCAAACTAACTCATGCAGCAGCCAAACCGCTTGCTCACAACTTCAATGCCAGTCGCTCACAAAGAATTTTTGCTCACAAGACTCCAGAGCTTAGAGGGAACATTGGTTGCAATCCCAGGAGATTTCCAGGTTGGCAGCCCTGCTGGAAAGGCAGTTACTTGTGGCTGCGTGACAGGCAGAATTCCAGCAGGTGAAGTTTCCTCTGTCCCCGGAAACACCTACCGAATTCCTCCTTCTTCCTTAGTACACGGGGTCTCCCTGCCAGGGAAAAAAGCAACAAACAAACAAAACAAAAAGTTGACCAGTACAGTCACATCAACCAAGAAAAGTATTTCCATTTTCAGCTGACACACGCTGGAAAATATCAAGCACCCAGGAGGAGTCAAGCGGGGACGACTAAAAAAACCACAGCAGCACAGGTAACTTCGACCAGCAGCCTGAAAAACCGCCTCCTTCCCCGCCTCCCGCCAGGCCAACCCAGCCGGGACACCGGGTTCAACTAGCAGGCGGCCCCGCCTCGACTGTGATCTCAGCGCGGGAGGAGGAAGCCTCCCTCGGCCGGGCAAAGCCCAGCCCAACCCAGCCCGCCTGGGGCCTGTGGCGTCTTGGCCCTTCCCCCGCCCGCCTGCCTCACACGCTCGCTCGCTTTCCCCCCCTCACAGGGACTTCCTGCGCGGCGCCGGGCCCAGCCGGGCGAAGCAAGCGGGCTGTCTGGCTGGCGGAGCTCTGCCGAGAGTTGAAGGTAACGGGGAAGGGGCAGGGGAGGAATCGCTCGGGCAGGGCTGGAGGCCTCGGGTGCCGCGAGGAGGTGTGTGGAGGCGGCGGCGGCGGCAGCCGCCACTGATAAAGAGGAGCCGCTGAAGAAGCCAGCCGTCGGCGGAGGGGGCGGCGAAGAAGAAGAAGAAGAAGGGGGGGGGGAGGGGGGAGGGG